GGGGATGGGGGGGCCAACGGCGGGTCTCCCCCACCCAGACCTGCAGCCCCTGGTGCTGAGTGGGGGACCCCTGCCCGCTGCTTCCCTGCCCTGCCCAGTGTGAGGCTGAGCAGCTCGCACCTCGGGATGGGGGCAGGCAGGCGTAGTCGCAGCCATGCAGGCAGCACTTCTCCTCGCCGGGGCACTCGGCGTCGTGCCGGCACCAGGCTCTGCATTCGTAACTGGGGAACAGCCCGGCGTGGGCCGGGCAGAAGCCGGCCTTCCCTGCAGGGCACGGCGCAGGGTAGCTGTGGTGCCCCTGGGATGGCTGCACGGACTTACACTGCAGCCTGGCCACCCCCGTGGGGCACGCAGCCCCCTTGGCACCACAGCCCCCTTGGCACCGTGGCCCCCTCAGCACCGTGGCCCTGGGTGCACCAGGCACCGCAGCACGGCTCTGCCCTGTGGCAACGTTGCGGCATCTCCTCCCGTGGGAACCACGGGGCTGGCACCAGAGCCCTCTGCCAAGGGGCATGGGGGCTGTGGAGGGGAGCCGCCCTTGCCCCTGTGGCTCGCCGGATTGAGCCGCTCCCCATGTCCCACCTTGGCGCTCAGCGTTGCACAACCCTGCGCACTGGCCGCCGCAGCACATCTCCCCGGAGCCACAGTCTCTGTCACTCCAGCACCTTGTCCCCTCCCGCCAGGCTGGCGTGGCCGTGGGGACCCCTGCGAGGCAGACGACTCGTGGCTGCACGTAGGGCTGGGGATGCCAGCAGGGACCGGGACACATCCATCCCCTCCATCAGTCCTGGGCTCCCACCCAGCCCCGCTCCGTGCCCTCCCGGCACTGGGACAGCAGCTGAGGAGGCAGCGTGGCACCACCCAGCTCCTGCCCCGGCCACGGCACTCACCTGCTGCCTCAGCACGGCACTCTGGCCTGCACCAGTGCCGGCAGCACGTCTCCAGGCGTGGGCAGTCCCCATCCCCGCGGCAGCTCTTTCCCCGATGTCGTTCTACAACGCAGGCAGCAGCGGGGCTGGGGTAGCGTCTGCCCTGCACATGCCGAGGGGTCCCAACCGCAGCGCGGGGCAGCTCGGCACTGGGGACCCCGAGTTGGCTGGTGTGCAGGGCCCCGGGGGTCCCAGCCCGGGTGGGTCCCCGCAGCCCTTCCCTTCTGCTTCACCGGGGTCCCCGTCCCCTTGGCTCCTGGCACTGCTTGGAGGCACAGCCGCAGGGACCAGGGCAAGCACAGCTGTCGGAGCTCCGGGGCGGCTCCCTTCCCCCTCACCTCGTCCGTCTGCATGGCACTCCCGGCTGCACCGTTGGTGACAGCACACCTCGGATGTGGGACAGTCTTGGTCCTGGTGGCACCTCCGCTGGTGGTGCGGCTGTGGGGTGGCTGGGGCAGGGCTGGTGTCCTCTGCGCCGTGGAGCAGAGGTGCTGGCAGGGAGGCGGTGAGAATGGGATGGTGGCCTCGCCGGAGGGTGGCCTCACTGTCCCCTCCCCACACCAGCACCCACCTGGGAGCTGCGTGGTGGGTCCCCACCCCAGCCCCTCTCTGCCTGTCATGGGTAACGCCCCAGTGGCACCGCAGCCCCAAGCACCGTGTCCCCCTGTGCACGTGTCTGGGCAATGCTGGTGCATGGCTGAAGCCACAGCCCTGCTGGCAGCATTCGCCTCCCATGCCACCACGTTGGCAGGAGGCCCTGGCATGGGGAGGGTGCGGGGCAGGGGCGGCACTGGCCCCTGGCACAGCCAGGCTCACCGTGCAGTGGGGCCAGGCAGGCGAACCCGCAGGCGAGGGGGCAGCACTTGGCGCTGCCGGGGCAGTCGGTGTCCTGGGCGCAGGGGTCCTGGCACGGCGGGTCAGTGCCCGGCAGGGGGCTGGCGGGGCAGGCGCCAGGTTTCACTGGGGACAGCAGCGAGAGGTCGGGGACAGGCAGCAGCTCTCCTGCCAGCCCCACCAGCCCTGACAGAGCCCACCCCAGTGAGCACAGGGCGAGGGGGCCCCCGTTGTGCCACAGCTCTGTGCCTCGGGGCGGCTGCAGCCCCACGGCATCACCCTTGGTCCCCAAGCCACAGCCCTGCCCACGCTGCCCATCCCATCCTGTCTCACCAGCCGGGGCTGCCGGCAGGCACTGGCGGCCACAGCTGCTGTTGCAGCATTTCTGCGCGTCGGGGCAGTCGCTGTCGCCTTGGCACTGCTCCCGGCACGGCCCCGCCGGCCCTGGCTGCGCTGCAGGGCACTCCCCGGGTTTGGGTTGGCCTGGTGGAGCACAGCAGGCGCGAGGCTTCAGCATCCCCAACCGGCTGCCCTGCCCGCCCCGGGACTCCCCAGCCCCTTGCTGTGATCCACACACGCCCAGCGCCCAGCAGCCGCATCCCAGCGTTGGGTTTCCCTGGCAGCTGCCAGGAGCTGCTGGTGTAGGGGAAGCGGCGTG